TGCCGGCTCAGTCTTTGTGGTGGTGGACAGGTATTCCAAAATGGCCCATTTTATTGCCTGCAAAAAGACTTCTGATACCGTGCATGTGGCCAATCTATTCTTCAAGGAAGTTGTTCGTCTACACGGGGTCCCTAAATCTATCACCTCAGATAGGGACACTAAATTTCTTAGCCATTTTTGGAGAACCTTGTGGCGGCGGTTTGACACAACACTTAACTTCAATAGCACCAGTCACCCTCAAACTGATGGACAAACAGAGGTGGTGAACCGCACTCTGGACAACTTAATTTGTTGCCTATCTGGTGAGAAACCTAAACAATGGGATCTTACGTTGGCTCAAGCCAAGTTCGCCTACAACAACATGCTGAACAGATCAACTAGGAAGACACCATTTCAGGTAGTATACTGTCAGCCCCTAAGTCATGCATTAGACTTGGTTCCCCTGCCAAATCTTCCAGGAATGAGTATTGCAGCGGAGCATATGGCTGATCGGGTTAAAGCCATTCAGGAAGAGGTGTGTAAGAAACTGGAAGAATCCAATGCCAAATACAAAGCAGCTGCAGACCGGAAACGATGACTTAAATTATTCAAGGAAGGAGACCTTGTAATGGTGTACCTATGTAAAGGGTGGTTGCCAGTGGGAACATTTAACAAATTAAGCAATAAGAAGTATGGCCCCTATCAGATTCTACAGAAAATTAATGACAATGCATATCGGGTTGACCTCCCTGCAGAAATGGCAATATCTTCTACATTCAATGTTGCTGACCTGTTCGAGTATCATCCGCCTGACGAGTCACCCTCCAACCTGACTAACTCGAGGACGAGTTCTTTTTAGGCAGAGGAGACTGATGTAGGACAGTTCGTTGCTGTTACAAAACAATAAGAGGTTGCTATGAACTAAATTGCATGCTTGTTGGAATTTGCTATCATACACGAATTGCCAGTTGCACTTTCCTTATTCAACATAGATTCTTAGTTGGGGCCCTTAGTGCCTCTTTTGTTATTTCTGTTATTGCCTAGGACGTAAATTGAGGACATAAGTCCTGTTTTATGGGGGATTTCCCTGTCACCCCTTATTTTTCCTATTTAATTCTGTAAATCATTATTTGAGTTTGATGTTATAATATAAAAACTAAATTTTAAAATTTTAAAAATATATATTATTTCAATATATTTCAACTAAGAAATATTTTAAAACACAATATTTTCAAAACAGTAATTACTCGTATCGCGGTGAGATTTAATTCTGTTAAAATAATAATAATAAAAACTATAAATACATTGATCCCAGCAGAATAGGAAAATCTACCTTCGAGAACAAAAACGTCACATAAGTCAAAATCCACAGCCCACGCAACAGTGAGCAGAGTGGTCTGTGACTATCCTTCCTCCATCCTTTTTATCTTCCGGTCTCAAAAGGGACTGGTAGTGTTTTTGCTTTTGTACTGTTATAGATTTTGATGGAGCAATCATCATCTTCATCGTCCTCTTCCTCTTCCTCTTCTTCCAAAAAAGAAAGTCTTGACGTTCCTCTGCATTCCTTTGGGTTCCAAATTGAAGAATTGTCCCCTCAAAAGGTCACTGGTCGCCTGCTTGTTACTCCCAAGTGCGTCCAGGTCTGTCACTCTCCTCCTTTCTCTCTCTCATTATAATCCATATATAAGAGGAATTTTATTTGATTTCAATATGTTAAAATTGCCGAAATGGAGAGCTCATAATTTTCTTCTTGGAAATGGGCTGGCCGGCCATCGAGCAGCCGTTCAAGGTATTACACGGCGGAGTATCGGCGTTGATTTCGGAAGCGATGGCTAGCATAGGGGCCCACATGGCATCGGGATTGCAAAGAGTGGCTGGGATTCACCTGAGCATCAATCATGTGAAAAGCGCCCGCCTTGGAGACCTTGTCCTCGCCGAAGCCACTCCCTTCAGTATAGGCAAAACCATCCAGGTACATAATCCCCCTCCCTTCCCTTCACTTCCTTCAGCGTTAGCAAGGGAAAACCATTAAGATGCACCCTGATACAGGTGTGGGAGGTACGAATCTGGAAATTAGCTGATCCTTCTAACACAGAGTCCTCCAAATCATTGGTATCATCGTCAAGGGTTACTCTCTTGTGCAACTTGCCTGTGCCTGACCATGCTAAAGAAGCCACGGAAAATCTCAGAAGCCATGCTAAATTATGAACGCTCTTTTATTGCCTGCCTACCACCACGACATGGTCGTAATAATAATACAATTGTACTACTGTAATTCAGTGACTTCTAGTTCTTGCTGTATGATTCTCAAATTTCAGTCCGAAGAGTATGAATAAATTCATCTAATTTACTCCCAGTTAGTTGATGATTGCTTCCCAATTGATAGTACTGTTAATCGTTCAAAAACAAAAAACGAAGAATTTCACTCAGCTTAGCACACAGTCAACGCTGTTCTTAGACACCAACCTCGTGTTTTTTAGCCATAACTACCAAACCTACTACTTCAATTACATGGCGTCACATCCAAACTCGTCAGTCCTTCCCTTGTGTTGCTGGACCGGTAACACAAAAGATTGCAATACCAAGATTACTGAAATCTAACTTTAAGAAGCCATTCCTTCCCTTGTATTGCAGCACCTACTTTTCAATGATTCAGCGTGCTAAACGGAGTTTCGCTAGTTGCGATTTCCATTTTAGTTTGTGTTTGATAATGCGGTAATAGGAAATTGATAGTCGAATTAAGCTGTCAAGTATGATTGTAAGAGATAAACGCAATCTTCAGGGATACAATTAGAGCATCGAGATCAAGAGTTAGATATTGTACAAATGAAGGTAACTGAAGAGGAATGAGAGCTAGAATCTTAATTATGAAATAATGGGTGCTGGACATACATAATTTATCACGTTTTGTGGCGCTACAGAGAAAACAACAGTTTTTCCCATATATTTTGTATTTATGACGTTCTATATGTTCGATTTACAAGTTAGATCCAAGTAATACATATAAATACAAGACAAAGCAATCCAACGGATTCTGCACAAGGCCAGTTGCAGCCGCTTCCAAAAGAAGTGGGCTAGCCCATGATATTTATTGATTTTGGCTTTGTTTCCAATTTTCAATCTGATCAGTTGCGGAGATCTTTTGCCTTCAAAAATGTAAAATCCTGTTAACTACAAAATTGCATAAGCAAGCAAGGGGATTCTCAGATGGAAACGTGGTGAATTGAGCAGGAGAGCTAGGAAAGTAAGATGTGTAGCTAACCTGAGCTTGGCAAGTTGTCGAGTGAGTTCATTAATCTCACGGGCAGAGAGCTTGAGAGAAGACAAGGTTCCTGGCACCTCTTCAGAGACGACTTGGGACAATTTGTTGACAGAAGCTCCCAATCTTCTGAAAGCCTGCATCATTGTTCTTATCATTGCATAGGATCCTATATGCTTACTTAAGAATGCAGAGCACCAGTACATCGACTTATGGGATTGTTATATTAATTATCCAAGAAGAATGGCAGCCAAAGAGAAAATTGCTCCAATAGCCTGCGAGGAGGACGAGTACACTTGTATGTTACTTACTCGGAGAAAACTGGACAGCAGTGAGGAAGAAAAGGAAAAGAAGAGGTTGGAAAGCTAACCATAGAAAGAAGAAACAATAGAGAGAGGAGGGCCAAGTGAGGAGGGGAGGGCTTGGACCCTAGAGATTTGAGATGGCTGGGAGTGAAAGGCAATCGAGTAGAAGAGGGGAGCTTGGATTGCGGAGCATCAGCAACGTTACTGGAAACTCGATTTATGAGAAGAGCTGCAGTACCTGGTGTTGCGCCTCTTGTCCCGCCGAGCATCGTTGTGTAAGGAGGAACAGAACAACAAGAACAACGTCTGAGTCTCCCCACAGACATGGAAGGGTACAGACACAATGGGGTTGGTCCAAGAAGAAGAGGATGCATGCTACTATCACCTCAGAGCTGAAAGAGAGTTGCTGGACAATCTTCTGGATGAGGAGGAGCAGCCCTTGCTGTCCGTTTCGTGACACTTGCAAGGATAATGGTTTTCTTCAGCCTCCATGTCCATCGGGCTTTCCTTTTTATCTTCTAATAACACTTGGGCTCAAACATGGCCTCTGCTTTCCTCTCCTCCGCATTCATATGGTGATGCACCGTTCTGGGTTAGCAGGGCAGTATACTTGAAGTCCAACCTTAAAGTTCCAAATTTAAAATATCCATAAGACTTTTTTATTATTTCAAATCGGTTTCCATATATATATAAAGAATCCCAACCGAACCTTCCATTGCATTCAAGCTTATGTTCATACAGGGAGGAATCCAATAATGGCATATGCTTTCTCTCTTCTTTTTTTCTCTGTAAATTCATCGACCTGCTTGGTAGATTCTATCATGGAGATCCTCTCTCATTATTCTTTCTTCGTTTTATGTCTCTGATTTTCTATTTATTGATTGAAGTTCTTGACGTGATTTTATGCAATTTACCTCCCGAGAGAGAGCTCTACAAAGTGGACCAGTAAGTGTATGTATACTTGTGGAAATATATTCATGGATTCCAAGTAGGAAAACACGTATTTATAAGAAAAGAGGTGCACTCAATTCAATTCATATTGGACTAAATTGCATTAATACCAAATAAAGTTTTCATAGACTTGCAAGAATTAAAAATATTAATTTTCTCAAGTAATTTTTTTTTTAATGTGAAAGGAAAAAAGATTAATATTCTTTGAAAAATATAAAATTCAAGAATTCCCAGCAATAAAATTTCTTTACAATAATCAATCAATCATTAATTTTTTGAAAAAAAAATATTCAAGACAAAAATTAATTTCTTAAGAAAATTAAACTTTTTAAAATATTTAAAAAGTTAAAATAAATCTAACTTTTAAGAAAATAATGGACATAGTCATCCATTAGAGTATTCGAATTAAAAAAATATACATAAAAAATTCAAAAAAATCTTTTGAGACATTTTAATGACTATTTCCAAAAGTTTAATTGATAGCCATCTTATAATATTGTTATGCAATTTGGTCTATTTAGGTTAATGAGACTAAATTTTACAAACACAGTGAATTTTCATTAAATTTTCTTCACAAAAAGCTTATTTACCGAATTGATATAAATAAAAGGGTAGTTACGGGAGGATTTTCTAATTTTATTTTTGTCTAAAAAATTTGTAAGCTTTCAACTAGAGATTTTCACTAAATATATGCAATCAATATCAAATTATTAGATTAT